AGCATTGGGGAAGCACTGGGGTGCGGTTTAATACATAATTTAAGGGTAGGACCCCACTGCTTTTGATGCCAACAATGGAGTCTTGAAAAATATCTTCCAATTCGCCAAAGGCTTGGCGGAAAGCAGTGAGTCCTACCCTTAAATTATGTATTAAACCACCAGTACTTGGCCCGGCTATCGGGGAAAGGAGGCACGGGCATTGGGTGGTGTGTGCTGAAAAAGCGGACGTAGTCAGAGTAGGAACGAAAATGCTCTCCGCCAAGCATTGGGGAAGCACTGGGGCACGGTTTAATACATAATTTAAGGGTAGGACGCCACTGCTTTTGCCGCCAACAATGGAGTCTTGAAAAATCTCTTCCAATTCGCCAAATGCTTGGCGGAAAGCAGTGGGGTCCTACCCTTAAATTATGTATTAAACCACCAGTACTTGGCCCAGCTATCGGCCGCGGCGCTTCCTGTTAACGCGCCATGCCTTTAGGGCTTCTTACCGGCCCACAATGGCTGGAAGCGCCAGCCAGAAAAAATCGAAATGGTACCCTGGCCCTTCGGCAAAAATTGGCGCGCAGGGGCATTCCAGGCTCGGCATCGACAGCTGGGCCAAGTACTGGTGGGGTTTAATCGATGGGGTGATGCAGTTCACAACAAGGTACCTTTTTTCTAAGAAGTGAGTAGCAGTGGCAGTAATAGTAGTCGTAGTAGCAGCAGCAAGTCGAGTTCACCAGAATAGAATGCAGAGGGCTACCATCTGCACCCGAATAGAGCGCCCGGTCATTATTGCTCTATGTAGACTGAACGTTGCACCAAATACAGCTATACTATTCCGGTTAAGACGGTAGCACATACATTTGCTCTTTCCAATTGTCTATCTGTCTGAGGGCATATTCACACTTGAATCTGGATTGAACTCTGGACGTAATTACTGATAGATACATAAGGGTCTAGCTGTAATTGAGGTCAGATCCATGAAAAAAACTCCTGGTGTGAATATACCCTGAGAAGGTGAAAATGAATGGGGATACAATATTTGTCAATCTTGTTATCTAATCAGTCTGTGTTTCCTCAAGCGATGATTATTCCCCCCCCCAAAATAAAGAGAACACCATGATGGTTCATCTGAAGGAGAGAAAGGATAAGTGCTGGAACGAATCAGCTTAAGCTCAGTTGGTACACCCATGAACTGTTGAAATACAGACCTGAGCTCTAATCCAGACGCAACCGGATGACAAGTATAAAATCATTCCTCCAACCCCCCAACCCAAAAGAAAAAAGGAGAAGTGATGGAGTTGCGATCTCTAGGACTTAGTACAGATCACACTCTTGGAGTTCGCTCAGAGCTGGTTACTGGGCGTGGCTCGGGAAGATGGTGGATGTATTTCCCAAACTTGCCCGTCCATGTTCATCTTGTGTAGTTGCAACTGTGTACTCTAGAGTCTAGACTACCGGTGTTACCCGAATAGATCCCCCGGTTATTATAGCTGTACTTGCAGCGACTTTCAGACCAGATGCAGCGGTAATGACTCGGCGTTTATTCGGGTGAAGATGGTAGCATGTTGAGACACTAGCATCTTCACTTGGATCCAACGCACGGTCATTATATTTGGACCACCTTCCAGTCTAGGTACATCGATGATGACTATACGGTCTATCTGGGTGAAGATCGGAGTGCTGTAGGTTTTTTAGGAGCCCTAGCTTAATAGAAGTGCATATCTACGCCAAGGGCGAGGAACTTGACCAAAAACACCCTGAGAATGAAGTGTTTGTTAAAAAACCCGTTCCTTTGTGTGACCAAGTGTGAAAAGGCTATCAAGTGCGGAGAAGCTATGAAGTGTGGAAAGGGTCACTCGAGAGTACAGGAGCTGCGTGAAGCTAATTTGAGCAACCAGTTAGCTCAAAATCTCAGCTCTAGTGCAGGGAAGGGGGGGCGGG